ATACATACACACATACATTCCTGTATTCATCCATGCACGCACCCCTTCCCCCTACACCCACCACAGAGTGGTGACATTAAGCAGTACATGTTAGAATCGCGGATGCCCATGGCGTTCCTGTTTGTGCTGATGGGCGAGTTTCTGTTGATTTTGGTGGACAGAGGCATCTATCTCAGCAGAAGCTTGCTGGCTAAGGCTATCCTCCAGTTATTTGTGTGCATAGGTGAGTGAGTGTTCGAGTGCGTCTATATGCAATTGGTGTACATTCACATGTCAGATCTGTATGTGTATGTGTGCGTGTTTTATGGTTTTAGGGTTCTTGGGTTTGTGCAAGTGTATACCATACCCTGTTCAGTGTATGAGTATGTGTGTGTTAATATAATGTTCTGCGTGTCTCTGCTGATTGGTGGACCGGTGTATCTATCGCAGCAGGAGCCTGTTTCTCACGGCTATACCTCGGTTGTTCGTGTGCATAGGTATGTTTTCTAGTGCTAGTATGTGAATGGTTTACTGCTGACTACCACGTCTGCAGGTATGCATACATAGTACTAACCACACCCCTATTCATACATAGTACTAATCACACACGTGTTGTCACACAGCACTAACCACACCCCTATTTGTCCATAGTACTAGTGAGTTTTATATTGTTACATAGTAATAATGACTTTCATATTGTTACATTAGTACTAATCCCGTTGTGCATATTCTCTTTGTGACTCAGGCATTCACTTGTTTGCCTTTTATTATCTGCCACTGGTTTTGCGAGGACAAACCGTGCCAAGACTAAGTGCGCCCGTCACCGTCTGGTACGTTTTCTTCTGGTTTTGATACGTATACTCATCTGTCTGGTACGTATTAATGTGTGTTCGATACGTATGCGTGTCTGACTGGTATGTCTATTTGTGTCTATGATACATATTCGTTACTGACTGATACGTATTCCTGTGTTTCAAATGTATACTCATCTGTCTGGTACGTATTATTGCGTCTTTGATACGTATACGTGTCTGTCTGGAATGTTTATTTTTATCTATGATACATATTCGTTTCTGTCTGAAACGTATTCCTGTGTGCTCGAAACGTATTCCTGTGTGCTCGAAACGTATACTCATCTGTCTAGTATGTATTCATGTGTCCTCGGTACGTATTTTCCTCGCGTAGTCAGTGTTTCTTCGACCTATTGTCGTACAGAATGCGCATACATGTACTGGACTATTCACACACTTCAACACCCACATACGAACAGTCACACACACCCTATAGCAACAGACCCACTGTCACATATATACTATCACTTGTGCACTTGCTAGTTTATATACTTGTGTGCATCTACGCTCGCATACACCCTATAGCAACAGACCACTGTCACATATATACTATCACTTGTGCACTTGCTAGTTTATATACTTATGTGCATCTACGCTCACATACACCTTATAGCAATAGACCTACTGTCACATATATACTATCACTTGTGCACTTGTTAATTTATATACTTATGTGCATCTACGCTCACATACACCCTATAGCAACAGACCTACTGTCACATATATACGATCACTTGTGCACTTGCTAGTTTATATACTTATGTACATCTACGCTCACATACACCCTATAGCAACAGACCCACTTTCACATATATACTATCACTTGTGCACTTGCTAGTTTATATACTTATATACATCTACGCTCACATACACCCTGTAGCAACAGACCCCCTGTCACATATATACTATCATTTGTGCACTTGCTAGTTCGTATACTTGTGTGCATATGTGCTCAGCTCATATACGTTTCCCCGCAATACCTACTTGCGTGATTGACTCTAGGGACACTGATGTTTGCTGTCTGGCATGACACTTGCACATATGCACGTACATGGACACTCAAACGACAGTCAGCCGAACAAATCAACACGATTCAATGCATACGTTCTAATATGTATATACACTCACTCACTCACTCACTCACGCATGCACTCACTCACTCACTCACTCACACACACAACCTCACCTCCCAGGTACATCTGCAAGTGTGTGTATCTCTACGCGTCATCAACCCATTTCATATCCGTTCTAATACGTACACACACATACACACACACATATATATATTTATATTTATATATCCCTGCAGGTACATCTGCAAGTGTGTGTATCTCTACGCCTCAGGGCTTCAGCTCAGGCATGGCTACCCACGATATCTGCTGCGGGGGTGGTTGAACGGCCAGTACCGTCTGCTGGACGATATGATGTTCCGAGTGTATCGCATCATTCCGTTTGTGTTTGAGACCATTTCGCTTATGGACTGGATCTTCACCCCCACCACACTCACGCTGTTTGAGTGGTGGAAGCTGGAGGAGATCCTGTACAACCTGTTCATCAACAAGTGCCGTTATGTAGGTGGGTGGTTGAAGAGAGAGGCGTATGTCTATGTGCACATTTATCTGTAAATGTATCTGTATTTGTGTCTGTAAATGTATATGTATCTGTATGTGTATGTGTTCTGAATGTGTATGTGTATGTGTATGTATATCTACAAACCCGATTATATTTGTATAATGGCTAGTCCTTCTATTTAGACTTGTCCAGTCTACATCTATACACCGGGAGAATGCACCTACAAATCAGGATTGTGATGTGGAGGATACCTACTCGGCCCTCTTTTTGCGGTCAGTGGTCTTGGTTGGATGATTTGTATCTACCCCTACCCTGATATGAAGCCACCCGTATATATTTGACGCTATCACCCCCCCCACACCCCCTTTATCTCTCACTCTCTCTCTCGTAAAATCCCTATTTATATACGTGTATATATGAGTTTATATACAAGTATGTATTCGTCTCACATCGCGTGTTCTGTTCAAGACATGTGATCGATGTATATGAGTTATACCAGGGTTTAGTATACTTGATTATACTGGGTTTTAGTATATTAAATTATACTAGGGTTTAGTATACTCAATTATACTAGGGTTTCAAATACGTAACTATACTAGCTCGGCTCCTATAGCCTGCTCCTATGCTCCTGTATGTATTCGATGTGCAGTCAGATTCCCTCCCATTTGCGTTTCAGGGTTTAGGGTTTTAGGTCGAGTGTAGCTTTAGGCACAATTTCAGCGGAATGCGATCTTTGATGTTACTTCCCCCTTGGCGTGTGACACCATGACATGTTGTCGCTATCCCTACTACTCTGACAATCTAGCACCTGCACCTGCACCTGCACCTCTGATTTAGGACTTGCACCTGCACCTCTTATTTAAGACTTAGAGAATAAGATCGCGTACTGTGTGAGAAGTGGTGCATTGGACACTTTGAAACTCTGACAACTTGACACCTGAACCTGAGCCTCAAATCCAGGCTCGGATAAAAAGGACCGGTTACTGGAGGAGAAGTGGATTTGACTTTTAGACACGTTGGCACTCTGACACGTTCTCCTTGACCTTTTAAATACTAACAATGGCAAAATTGACACTATGGTTGTGCACCTTGACCTCAAACTTACGACTCGAAAAGAGGACCGGCTGCTGGGTGGGAAGTACATATATGGACACTTTGACACTCTAGCACCCCCATCCCCCCCCTGCGACACGCTAAACCTTATATTATACACTGACACACATGACACTACAATTGCACCTGAATCTCGAATTTTAGGACTCAGAAAAGAGGACCGGCTGCTGGGTGAGAAGAAGTCCTGGCTGAATAAGCTGAGCATGGGGTGGACCCTTCTGACAGGCATTGTGCTGCTGCTGTGGTGTCCGTTGCTGATTGTGTCACTCAGTCGCGTGTCTTCAATTCCGGTATGACCTCTAGTTAGAGATGCGCGAGTATGTGACCCATTAGCAGTACGTGTGGAAATAATCTTTCCAAGGTGAATGGAGACTGTGTTAGCGTAATGCGGGTCTCCATTTGGGTATGATCCAAGACATTCAATAGTGGTTTACGTCTGTATTGGGATCATACAGATCTAGTCGAGTATGATCCAAGACATTTGTTAGTAGTTTACGTCTGTATTGGGATCATACAGATCTGGTCAGGTATGATCCAAGACATTTAATAGTAGTTTACGTCTGTATTGGGATCATCCAGATCTAGTCGGGTATGATCCAAGACATTTAGTATTAGTCTAGGATCATACAGATCTAGTCGAATATGATCCAAGACTTTTAGTAATAGTCTAGGATCATACAGATCTAGTCGGGTATGATTCAAGTTGCCTTTCCCTTAGGTGTATGACATGTCTGTGTCACTCACTCTCTCGCTCTTCTGACCACGGCGTGTTTGTTAGTAGTCCACTCTCGACACCTTAAAGCACCAGAACCCCCAAATTTACTCTGTTGTATGTTGTCCTATTTGTCCTCCCTCCCGTACCAACATCTCTTTTAAAGCCCACTTTTGAAATCTTTCCGCAATAGACCCCCCCTCCCCCCATTTAATGCCTCCCGTTAGTAGTCCACTTTACTTCTGATACCTTTGCGCAATAGACGCCCCCAGATACTGTGCTGATGTCCTTCAAAGTGAGCAGTGAAGAGCTGTGGCAGATTTCCACAAACGTTGACGACATCCGCCCCGTTTCCTCAGCCCAGTTTGAGATGCTCGAGTATGTGAAAGGTCAACCGTATGCGTGGATATAAATAATGTGTGTGCCGAACTAGCTGTATGTGTGTGTATAAGCACGTATGTGTGTTGAAATAAGCAATGTATGTCTGTAAACTTGTGTGACAAAGCAGCGGTATTTGAGCAGGTAAACACATTGTAAACGTAAATGTATATGTATATGTATATGTGTATGCATATGTATAGGTATAGGTATAAGTATAAGTATATGTATAAGTCTATGTCTATGTATGTGTATATGTATATGTA